TCTAGATCTTAGGGCCTTTTTGAACGAGAAAGTCGTCGGCAAYGACCCACCAACATCCCCACAGCGATGAGCCTCTACAATTAGGAGCTCCCGCTCTCTCTTAAGCCTCGGGCCGATTTTCATCCCATATTCTTCGATTGCACGTTACGTCATCGCGGCCATGTTGGTGGCATTTAACAAAAGATTTCTCATTAGCACCCATTGTAAACGGCACCACAATGGCCGCCATGCTTTTGTCTTTTGACTCTCTTGGGAATGCTTGCAATCCATCAATTTTAACTGTGTCCTTGGCTTTGTTAGCGGGAACTCCTTGTGAAAATATATTAATCACCTCGCTTTCGGCGTGAATAATCGTTGAATAATTTATTTCTATAAATTTGTTTCTTCAATTAATAATATCAGTTCAAGAGCAAGGTGTGTTGTCGTTAAACATGAACGAACCATAACAATATATAATCTAAGTAGCCCCTGAACCAAAGTTGTGGTTGAAACTAATAGAAAACACTTACCAAGGATCGTTAGTTGCAAGTCACCTGAATCCCGGCTGTCGTAGTCGCCTAAACTATCAGTAAAAATTATATGCAAATCGTATAAACGCTCATCAGTCGATCGGTTCAGGTTTTTCAWTGTAAACACCGATGTCAGTAGAGTACCAGTAAGAGAAGCAGTTAGATTCAGATCCGCATCTCGACTTTTATAAACGTCATAAACTAATCTCTTTTTTGTCTTGTCATACTTTATCATCGCTTTGCTTGAGCCAACTACTCCCTGGTTCACTCTAACATTCTCCCATGTTTCACCTCCATCTAGATCAGCAGTCCAAGTGATGCTGACACTTTGGCCTTGAATCCCGGCAGCCGAGAATGGCTTAATCGTCCAAGTGAGTGCCTCTATAAATACATCGATTAATTAAATCAGCAGTAAATAAAAAAAGTTAACATCACTTTGTGATTTATTTCAATGATCAGCAATATCAAAATTGAGAGAATACGCCAGCGCAGGTCATCGCTCAAAGATGGTGACGCATTTAGGTACATGTTGCGAACTGATTTAAAAGACAAAACAATTAGCACTTTCCTTTGCTTCATGTTTGTTTGTTTTGATGATTTCAAAGTTTCAGATCTCCGACCGACAACGCTATCTGTTATTTCACTCAAGGTAAAACGTTCTATCAAGCTGATACGCACCAAATGCAGTGGTACCTCTGCAGTGGTTAGGTGTCCGCCATGTTCGGTTTTACAGTAAATACGGTTGGGGAGAAATCGTAGTTAATACCCTCTTAATAAGGGGTCTGCTTAACAGAGGTACATTTTCATGTAAGTTCAGAGATGTGAGCTCTTGAAGAATGAAGCAATTTCTAATTTCTGTAACCCTAAAGTCAAATAATGCAAATACGATTGGCAACTTATTGCATCTTCTGCGTTTTACACATCTATTTGCTACAAGCTTACGTCGCTTCCATTTTCCGGCGCAATAAGCGAATGATTCACCCGGAAATAAACTAAACATGATTCAGATATATTTGATAGCTTCTTTTTTAGTTCCTTTAGAATACTAAGAAAGTTTTCTTACCGGTTAGCGAAAATATGCTAAGATGCACAAGGATGAAAAAAAGAAATCTAAGCTTCATCTTCATAAGGACAAGTAAATCACGGCGTAAGAACAGACAGAATATCAGCTATTATGTGAATATTTTATCTGGTCCGTCAAACACGGTCACGCTCAATAGCCATGTAATATTATTATTCTTCGATTGCACGCTACGTCATCGCGGCTTCTCGGGGGAGCGTTGGTGCCATTTAACAAAAGATTTCTTATTAGCATCTATTGTTAACGGCACCACAATGGCCGCCATGCTTTTGTCTTTTAACTCTCTTGAGAATGCTTGCAACCCAACAATTGATAAAAAATGTACGCCGTTGGAGATCTAGAAAATAATGAATTGTTTTACAACTTGCCATACACTATAAAAAAGGCAAGAGTGTAGCTGCAGAAACTTGTGACACTCGCCTTTATTTCCCAAAATACACGTTGATTACACTTCGTTTAACTGATTGAACTCTCCGATCTTAACGCAGCGATTGAAATTATTCTTTAGCAGTTCTAGCATGAATAACCCGTAAAATGAGATGATAAGCGATGGTTCACAACTAGAAATAGAAAAGAAACATATTAATTGGCGATATTCCGTGATATGAAGAGATGAAATGCAAAAAAACTTACAATTTTGTTCTTCTGCTATAGCTACACGGCTCTGTAACATAAAACTATAGGACGCGTGTGGATCTCCGCCCTAGTCCTCCTCTGGCGGTTTTGGCGGTTTTTAGTTAAGGCACAACTACAGCTGTCCTTACCTCACATACGTCTAACACTTAACTCTTACCAGTGGACGTTTTTATGTCGAATATCTGGAGAATAGGAAAGAAAGAATAACTGAGAAAAATAAAAGCCCTCTTAACACAACATTACAATTGAATTGAATAATTATATCCACAGTTTTTAAACGTCGAATATCAAAACAATAACAATGAAAAAATACATTATTTGATTCCGACATCTGGATCACTATTTCTAACATCCACTTTCTTGCCGTAGTACTTTTACTTGTGATAGCTATATGGACTGTTGCTTGTGAAAACAAAGGAAAAGGAAACAAAGCACAACAAAAGGAAAAAATGAAACGAAAAAAAAGAAAAGTAAAAGAATAAAAAAGAGAGGAGAGGCAACTCAATAGCAGAACCCTGAAGAAAAAGAACTGTACAATCATGTTGTAAATCACATTCTAACTTTACCATGATCCTGTCAATCATGGAGATACCTAAATCTTTAAAAATAAAAAAGTAAACAATAAAAAGACAAATATTAAAAATTGACAAAACACAAAAACACACTAAGAACAGGATTAGCAATAACAACAATAGAGTGGTTTTTATAAGCCCGTAAAATAGACTACACAGTAACCTAATACAAATTATTAGACCCTTATTCCATTGTGGTTTTTTGTTTGTTTGTTTGTTTGTTTGTTTGTTGTAGTTGTTTTGCGTTGTTGTTGTTGTCGGTTGTTGTTGTTGTTGTTGTCATTTCACTATTACCCACTAACTAATCTTATCTGTTTCACGGGTTTATGAAAATCACTATAATACCAATAATTTGAATAAAGAAATATTATACACTTATTTCAATAAAAGTTAGTCACCTGAAAAGCTACAAAGCTGAGACCGACAAGGATTATGGATAGATACATTTTATTGTTTCAACCGCTTGATAACTGTTGATGGACTTGAGATCTTCTACTAGTTACAAGTTAACCTCCTCTGAGCAACCTTAACTGCTGCAGTTTGTGTCAAAAGCTTTACTTGTTGGATATAAAACATTTCCCCATGATTCTCAGCGATCACAGCTTTCTACGTTTTTGGTGACTAACTTTATTGAAATAAGTGTATAGTAATAATAATAAGAAAATCATAAACAATAAAACAATACTAGTAACAGTAAAAATAACAATAACAACCGCACAACCAACAAAACAGCAACAAAAACATATTGATTCAAGCTGCTAGATATTGCACTGTATCCGTCAATATCTAGAAACAACCATTTGTTATTCAATGGTATGTATTAGAAATACATTCCAATGAACAACAAAGTTAATACCTGCTCACATATTCATTTAGCGAGCCATTAAAAGGTCGTAGCGATGGCGTCACAGTCAAAACTCCAAAGTCAGTTTAATTTGTCGGTGATAGAAGGCAAAGAGTAGGATTTGAACTCACATATTAATTCGAGCATCTGGAACACATGTAATGTGAATGCAATATTGACTTTCGAACATATATTCTTTATGCCACTTAAGGACACTGGAATCGGCTACTGACGGATGATGGATTCTCCGATTCGGAGCAGTCATTAGTTTTGATCCCAGATCCTCTCGGGCCCTGGCTGCAGAGGAGACTAATGATGGATGAAAGGACGCTAATTATTATTGTCTTTTCGTGATTTTAAACGCAATATAAATAAAACCCATTTGACTTTAAATTTTCTGACCGACTAATCATGTTTATAGTGTCTTTTCCCGT